GCGCAGCGTAATCTTGTTGAGGGGCAGATGGCACACTCGCAGTGTCAATCGGATCCTCTAGATTGGGACGGTGGAGGTGAAGAGTTCTCCAGGGGCCGCCGTGCAGGCCCGCCACGCCAGGGTCAGTAGGTTCGGCTGACCATCGGAAGCATCGGAAGCAGACAGTCACCTTTTTCTTCCCCAGACGCCCAGACCTGCTAATGACTTTGAGCAGAGGGGTCGACATTGGACACAATTTCAGGCTAGGATTAGGATTAGCCCAAGAGCCGATGTAATAGGCCTGTCTTGTTCCCTTTTCCTTAAACATACACACACACACCTCATGGATTCTCCCTATCTCTTTTACACACATTTACGCTGCTGTTTATGCAACTCGCTGGCAGCCCGAGGATGCAGTTTCCACTCCAGACAAAAAAGGAGATGAAGTCTTGGTTGCCACTTGCCAACATCGTGTGCCAACTGAGGAGTCCTTGTCATGAAAAAGGTCACATGCACATGCTAGATGCTAAAAATCAGCATGTTCACACGCCAATGTCTAGTGTGTGTAACGTTCAACCATCTTGGTTTAGCAATGCTAACATTTGCTTCTTGGCACTGAACACAAAGTTCAGCTGAGGCTAATGGGAATGCCGTAGACATTTGGTCATAAACAAAAGTGATGAATGCTTTGAAATTTTGGCAACCAGCGGCGGACTACAGGAGATTTACTGGTCCCAAGTCAGGGATAGTCAAGTAGATCACACAAATGAGCTACGACACGGACCAACCGAACGACACGGCCATCCCTGGCAAAACGGAGCGTGTAGAGGAGTAGAGAATGGCAACTTTAAAATACTGACAATGGGCAGAGAAATCACAACCCTGGTCGATAAACTACTACGCTTAGTGCGACAGAGTTCCGCACCAGACCCTTCGCCTCTTCTCTCCTCTGCAGAACGCTGCAGTTTACAACGCAGATTTATTAAACAGGCCAGCCAGTGCAGTGGGCGTTTTGACAGGCTCATTTGCATGGCCGCAGACAAGTTGAACTTGGCTCAGCCTCGCCTCTCCTCCTCCACCACCAAAAACAATCTCACCTTCAATTACCAGACATCAGATGAGGTGAGGGAGTGTGCGATCCTCCTGATAGACCATGGGAGGGAGGGAGAGAGACATGCGGAGAGAGATGAATGGCTCCGCCGGCGTCCCGGAGCACTGGAGAAGAATGAGAATAAATGAATGAATGGGACTGTAATGAAAAGAGGGGGGGTGGTGGCGGGGCGAAGGGGGAACAGGACATTCAGAGTGGTCGGTCTAGCTGTTAAAAGAATTGGAAAAGAGGACAAAATGAGCAAAAGCTGAGTCCCAGGCTGAGGGCCGTACAACACTGTGTGTCTGTTGGGCTCAACGAGGGGGTTTTGAAGAATTCTGAGAACTTTTAGAGGAGTTTTTAAAGTCCTACCCCGCTGTGAAATAACTCGCACATCGAGCCAAGGAATGTGCTGAAGAATTTAAAAGCAAATCTGAACGTGATATGGAAGCAGGTTTAAAGACCACGTCAATAACTGCTGTTTGCTAAAGCAGGGGACACGCGAGAGGACATTATGACGAATTCAATCTGTAAAGATTGGAAAGGACACACTTCAGTTCCTGCTGCGTGATTTTATTCAGCGGCTTGGCTCCGTCCAACCGTTGCAAAGTTCCCCTACCAGCGCCTCGCACTACATCTCGATTGTTTAATAGTTGTGTTGTGAGGCAGAGTGTTCCTCGGCCCCGGCAGCAGGGACTTCCGTAAGCCTTTGAACAGTTCCAGGCTAGCTGGTTCTGTTTGCGGGCCCTTATGCTAAGCTAACAGGCTGCGGCTTCATATTGACCGTACAAATGCGAGGCTGCTGTCAATCTTCTCATCTAACTCTCAGGCCAGGAAGCTAAAGAGCCTACATCCCAAAGTATCAAATCATGAATGGAAGTCTCAGCACGACCAACCCATAATCAGGTTTAAAACGCAAAACCACATGCTAACGTCGCTCCTGTTCAGACTGAACACAAATGTTAGTGTGTGAAAGCTTCACAGAAGAACAGATACTCACTTTTCCATATGATTGCACAGAAAGAAAGAGACAGAATCGAGGGAGAGACAGAGGGGGACGTACAGAATAGAGAGGGTTTGCTCGGCTAAACATTTGCTTTGGCAGGCCCAGAAGTGGAGGGGCGGTGTTCTGCTAGTCCCCTGACAAGCATCCAGAGGAGCCCCTCTGTCTTGACCATAAATCTGAAAGGAGTGGGAGTTATCATACTTTCCCCCTCCCCGGCTAAACCCCGCATTCCTCCCAGACACCGCTTCGTACAAACAAAGTGGCCTGTTCCCACCGCTCGACATTGGGAAAGGCGATGGTTTGTCATGGAAAAATCCCGAGGCATCTCAAGAGTCCTTCAGAAGTTGTTTTCTTTCTTTTTTTTTTGCTCCCCCCCCCCCACAAGGCTCAGCAATGGATCAGCACTCTCTCTCTCTCTCTATGTGGCAGGGAGGAAACTAAGTTGGACATGTAGTTCACACATAGATGTCAGTCCGGATCAGACAAAGAGTAAAACTAAACGTCTAAATGCACTGTGAAAAGAAGTGAGCTCCACACACACGTGTGTGTGTGTGGAGCTGAAAGAAATACACAGAGCTAATTCAGACAGAGAATTCACACCCGGCAGAAAAGCCCAAAGATGCAGGGATGCGCACACACACAGACACACATATATATATGAAATGAGTGTGCATTGGGGGGGGGGCAAGTCGTTATAGAAAACCCTGGTGACACATTGCAGGAGTCTGCTTCCTCCCTCAAAGGGAGCCTTTTGTCATGACTGAAAGGCAGAGGGGTTACAGGGTTTCTCCCTTCAGGGTGCTGAGAATAATGCTCGCTCTCAGGACAATGACCTCATCCTGACTCTCTCTGTGTGCACGCATACGTATGTATGTGCGTTTGGGAGACACTGGGACAGGACGCTGTACGTATGCATGATGGAGCGTGGATGGTGAAGAGAGAGAAAGTCAAGAGAAGCAGAAAGAGAAGCAGGAAGTGGTCGGTCGAGGATGGATTATGAGGGAATGGGGGGGGATAGATCCTCAGGAGGACAGTATCCCCCCCCTTTCTCCCCATTGTCTGTCCAAGGTGAAATGATCTGTCGATGACATTGGTAAGAGCCGGAGGTAATGTAAAGCGCACACACGCAGCCAGGCCCAGGGAGCGGTGGGCTCCAACCGGAAATTCCTTTACAGCCTTTCTGCTGACTAAGGCCTCCGAGTGGGAACAGAGTAAGAAAGAATGTAATGTATATGGTGTATGTGTGTGTGTTATTAGGGGTCCAGTTGGGCCAGCATATGCATAAGCCATTACCACAGGGGTGTCGTTTTCAGAATAAAAGAGCGGTAACATCATTCAACAAATAAGCAGGTAAAGTGTCATTGCAGCCACAAACACACAGCTGAAGAGTCAAAATATTTATGTCCCAAAGATGATGAATTTCATTCGCCCACGTTGCCAATTAATCCTTTTTTTCTCTAGAAATATAGCCACTAGCATACTTGAAGGAGCTCAAAGGTTCAAGGTTCTGTTTATTTGTCCCTAAATTGAGGACATTGTGAGAGGGAGATTGGCGCCTCATTTGAGTTCTCCTCCGTCCTGGTGCTATGTTGGTCTTGACATTGGTGCGGGAGACTGATGCTCACGCGTCCCCTTGTCTGTTTCATCATACACTCACTCATCAAACCCCCCACTACGACCACACCCACTCGGTATCATCATGTGTGTACAACAGTGAGGGGGGTGGGGAAAGAGAGAGAGAGAAGCCATCTTTACAGGCAGCATCCATGTTGCAGAGCCAGCGCGCTGCACAGGTGTCCCTCCACAGTGACCTACATCAGCCCATCTGACGACACCACGGACGTTTCATGGACCGCCTCGCTGCTTCTCCTCAGGCATCCAGTGAGGCCAAGATGAGAGAGAGATTCTGTGCAAAAAAAAAAAAAAATGTTTTTAATTGCAGCGATGATATGATTAATGCGGCTGGTGATGAACAATGGTATGTCAGAACATGTGAACACATCTGCTGCGGCTGAGAGAAAAGGAGTGGCAGGCTGTGACTGGGGCGGGTCGATATGGAGCGACAGCGCCATCAAGTGAATCTCTTCTTGTACTGCAGGTACACAGGTTTCATATTGGAACATGCACAGACACTGCTTCCATTTTTATACCGTCCCAAAACTTGAGATTGAAAATCTTGCATTTGAAATTTATTTAAACCTAATAAAAGATACCGACTATGTCAAGCAGACTTTTGGAGAAGTGTGTCTAAAAGGATGCACAAGACGTCTAGAAATATGTCCGTTAATTGGAACCATGTTGGGTTTGTATATTTCCCTCAAAGTAAACTACCCCTCAGTGGATGGACCGCTATACAACCTGATGCAGGGTACTGTACACGAGAGGAAATAGCTTTGCAGTGAAAGCGTTACAATGACTTACATTGTATCTGGTCACCCAACGCACTACTCAAAGTGCAAAAGAACACAGAGGGACAAAATTCTAAAACTAATAATTCTATAATTTAAATTCCTTGTATTAATGAAAGTAAAGTCCCCCCCCACAGAGAGCTATATGATTCATGATGGGGGTCACAGACAGCAATAAAACTCCTCTGTAGCATCACCATAGGGTAAATAAAGGTACCGCTTCAGTGATCCTTTATTGAAGTTTTGACCAAACTGAGCTGTGAGGAACATTTACTTTTTATTGTGAAATTCCACGTTTTGAGTGCGATAGAGCTGCTCTTTCTACGCATTAGTTCAGCAGTTAGTTGGTGTAAACAGCAAATAGTTTTGGTATGAGTGGTGATTTCCTGTAACTGAAGATCCTCAGCACCACTAATTATGTTTTCGTAGCCCAGTCTGGTTTAAACAGACCCGTCTGGTTTTTCCTGCTTTAGCAGCAACAAGGCCATAAACACAACAATGCATGACACTACGCCCACTAGCCATGAATCCTTTAATGACAATGATCATTTGAAAAAAATATAGTGAAATACTCGACTTGAAAGAAAGACCTTGACAGCAGATTTGAAAACAGATGAGTGCAGAACAGCTGTGGTGAGTCCAACGAGTGAATCAGAAGGAAACACACAGCAGAGAATCATAGACATGCAACACAAGAACCTGAAGAACAGCCAATGTCTTTATCAGAAAACATACAACTCAACAGCAACCATCTGCACAATGTTCTGCATGGTGTTGCACAGACATGCAATCCGAAGCACATTATACAATAATTAAGCGTGTATTTTAGTATAAATATTACATCTCTAGGATTATTTTTGTCTCGCCTTACGTTACAGATGATGGAGAGGGAAATGCAGAGAAGCATGGAGCGTGCTCTCGTCGCTCCTCGGCCTACTGGAACCACCTGCTGATCCACTTTGTTCCAAAACACGGTGCCAACAGAGCAACTTTCAAACTGCGCAGATTTGTCGCATTTTCCTAAATCACATGCTGGCGTCCACGTCAAGCCAAAGAATCCGGCACCGCGACACCGGGAGCGCTTTGAATTCTCCTCGTTTAGTGCACATACGCCCTCTCTCTCTCTCTCTTTACCAACTCAGAACTAATGAATTCCCACGACCCAAATAAGACAAACAACTCATTCGAAAAGTGACACCGGAGTTACAGCCTGCAACAAGCTCATATATTCAAACGACTCACATGATATGACAGAGAGAGGGGAGAGAACCAACGACATGTTAGCTGGTTGTGCAACTGACTTGTAACAAACAAAAAAAGCATTTGGATAACTATCACACTGCGGCGTGTTTTACAAGGCCATACATCTAGAGTTGGGAGTGAATCCAAAATGAAAAGTGCTCTGTGAACGAAGGCCAAAATATACATATATATATTTGTTTTTTTTTCATTTTGATGATTCTCTTGCATAATAAAGATGAGCAAGAAAGAGCGGGGGCACAGGTAGAATTAAATCAATCGATCATCATCATCATCATTCAAAAAAAAAAAAAAAAAAATCATTTGGGAAGTCCATCTCAGGAAGATGACAAGCAGCGTTATAGTTTCTGGCTATTCTGCAGCTCGCCGTTACGTCATCGCCCAACTAGCAATGCACTTGCAACATACGTTATGTATATAATGGCATAAAGAAAAAGGGGAACCAGCTCCTCCCCCGCTGCAGTGATACCTTTCACATTCTGACTTGTCACTGTGTGTCCTTAAGGTTTACAAAAAAAGAAAAAAAAAAAAAGGTAGTGACTAGTGTCGTATGCTCTCTAAGTCAGAAGTTACTCCAAGAAATAGCCAAGAGCCGTTACCCTCGCTAGAGGCCTATCTGCGCTAAAATGACAGAGCAGGGTAATTCTTATTGCCATGGTCTTCCAGTTGCTCTTTTCAACAGGTTCGCCAATATGGTCCAAACCTGCCGGAAAATCCCCTACTGACGATCATGACATGGTGACAGTGTGGACAAAGAGTTTAAAACACATTAAGCATGGCCCGTCTGCCGAGAACTAGCTTTAATGGCGGAACAGAGTTCGTGTTGCGGTGGCTCTCATTCCCAGTTCTCCCAGTCTTCGTCCATCTGGTAAAAAAAATAAAAGATTTGGGTTAGGGTTAGTAAAACGTTCTCAATTATTCATATATTAAAGTGGAAACCCCGCTTGTAGTGATCGCGCTTACAGTGATCAACCACTTATAGTTGTGTGAAAAAGTGTTTGCCCCCTTCCTGATTTCTTATTTTTTTGCATGTTTGTCACACTTAAATGTTTCAGACCAAACAAATTTAAATATTAGACAAGTAAACACAAAATGCAGTTTTTAAATGAAGGTTTTTATTATTAAGGGGGAAAAAAATCCAAACCTACATGGCCCTGTGTGAAAAAGTGATTGCCCCCCCCTGTTAAAACATAAATTAACTGTGGTTTATCACATCTTTGGAAAGCTGAGTTCAATTTCTCTAGCCACACCCAGGCCTGATTACTGCCACACCTGTTCTCAATCAAGAAATCACTTAAATAGGACCTGCCTGACAAAGTGAGGTAGACCAAAAGATCCTCAAAAGCTAGACATCATGCTGCGATCCAAAGAAATTCAGGAACAAATGAGAAAAAAAGTAATTGAGATCTATCAGTCTGGAAAAGGTTACAAAGCCATTTCTAAAGCTTTGGGACTCCAGCGAACCACAGTGAGAGCCATTATCCACAAATGGCGAAAACATGGAACAGTGGTGAACCTTCCCAGGAGTGGCCGGCCGACCAAAATTACCCCAAGAGCACAGCGACGACTCATCCAAGAGGTCACAAAAGACCCCAGAACAACATCCAAAGAACTGCAGGCCTCACTTGCCTCAATTAAGGTCAGTGTTCATGACTCCACCATAAGAAAGAGACTGGGCAAAAATGGCCTGCATGGCAGAGTTCCAAGACGAAAACCACTGCTGAGCAAAAAGAACATAAAGGCTCGTCTCAGTTTTGCCAGAAAACATCTTGATGATCCCCAAGACTTTTGGGAAAATACTCTGTGGACTGACGAGACAAAAGTTGAACTTTTTGGAAGGTGTATGTCCCATTACATCTGGCGTAAAAGTAACACGGCATTTCAAAAAAGGAACATCATACCAACAGTAAAATATGGTGGTGGTAGTGTGATGGTTTGGGGCTGTTTTGCTGCTTCAGGACCTGGAAGACTTGCTGTGGTAAATGGAACCATGAATTCTGTTGTCTACCAAAAAATCCTGAAGGAGAATGTCCGGCCATATGTTCATGACCTCAAGCTGAAGCAGGACAATGATCCAAAACACACCAGCAAGCCCACCTCTGAATGGCTTAAGAAAAACAAAATGAAGACTTTGGAGTGGCCTAGTCAAAGTCCCAAACTGAATCCGATTGAGATACTGTGGCATGACCTTAAAAAGGAGGTTCATGCTTGAAAACCCTCCAATGTGGCTGAATTACAACAATTCTGCAAAGATGAGTGGGCCAAAATTCCTCTACAGCGCTGTAAAAGACTCATTGACAGTTATCGCAAACACTTGATTGCAGTTGTTGCTGCTAAGGGTGGCCCAACCAGTTATTAGGTTTAGGGGGCAATCACTTTTTCACACAGGGCCATGTAGGTTTCGATTTTTTCCCCCCCTTAATAATAAAAACCTTCATTTAAAAACTGCATTTTGTGTTTACTTGTGTTATCTTTGTCTAATATTTAAATTTGTTTGATGATCTGAAACATTTAAGTGTGACAAACATGCAAAAAAATAAGAAATCAGGAAGGGGGCAAACACTTTTTCACACAACTGTATATGGACAGATCATTGCTAAACAAATGCCGTTTGAACTATTTGCTGATAGTAATCAAGTGGTCTGCTTACAGTGTTCATTCAAGTTACAAGTCAAGGCACGATGAGCGGTTTCCACTGTAACGGTAGTAAATGTGACGGCACTAACCTCTCCAGAAGCTTCTATTTTAGAGAGTGCCATTTGGACTTCTTCTTCTGTCATGTCCAGGTCAAAGTCTTTCTCCCAGTCCTCACTCACATCGGTGCTGGACCCTGGAGGAGACGGAAGGACACATTTGGAACTCTGTGTGACCTCGACGCTAAGCCTGTTTAGTGGCAACCTCACAACCACATCACTGAACGTAATCCTGTCTGGATTTATGCTTCCTCACTGGAACAGTAGGAATCTCACTGCCAACTGTAAAAAAAAACACCCTCAAGTCATCTCACCTTTCTTGCCATTGTTAGAGGGCGTAGACTTCCCGCTGTCGGAGTTGAGTTCGAACACTCTCAGGTCCTGCGGCCCCTCCTCCTTCGCCGCTTCTGGTTTAAAGGTAGGGGGGGCAGAAGGCCGCACTGACGCCCCGTCAACAGTGACCTCTGGCTGGGTTACAGCTTTCACCTGCGCCCCGAGAGGCGAGTCACTCTTTCGGGGCCTCTGCTCCTCTCGCGTCTTGTCCGCGGCGTCTTCCAAGCTGGCTTCTGTCAGTTTCTCGGCGAGCTCCGCAGCGACGGGCTCCCGCCGCGCCGACACCTGCGTTGGCAGGCTGCCGCTGTCGCTGCTGACTGAGAGGGCGGCGTCGCGATCTTCGGCGGGAGACAGGACGGGGCTCAGTAGAGCCGTTCCTAAGGGGGCGGTCGGGTTGGCGGGAAGCCGGGTTGAGCCGCTGAGTCGAGATGATGACGTAGCGCCGAGGAAATCATCTGAACAGGAGCAGCATGAGTACCAGAGAGGCAGTGTGACAGGTGTTTTAAAAGTGAATCTGACTATTTGAAATGTTAAAACTGAAGACAGCATACCTTCCTCCTCCTCCTCCCAGCCAAGGGTCTCCGTGTGTGTCGCCTGTTCTGCCCTCTGCTTCAGTGCCACTCTCCGTGCCTCCTCCTAGAAAACACAATCAGAGGGAAATTTTTATGTTTGTTCTTAAATTCTGTGCCACCTCTATGTTGTCGACTACAAGAAGATAAGTTAATTCTCCTTGTTGTTACGTTGCTGTGGTACTAGATTGCGGATACAAATGTATTGCAATACTGATTGCCCAGGCACAGCGGGCATGTGGAGCCACCAGCAGTGACTCAGGACCTGCAGCATGTTTGAGCCAGCAGGTGGCGCCCAAGACAATCATTTTAAGCTGATGGAAAAAGACACTTTCTGCAGATCAGAACGCACCACAGAAAATAGCACAATTACCTGGTCCAACTGGAAGACTCGGTAGAAATACCTCTGCCAGAATTCTGAATGTGCTACAGCTGCCGGCACCTGTGAATAAAACAAGACAAAATCTTGTTCACTGCACCGCCAATTCCTGATGACATCTCGTTCTTTTTGCGTTTGACAGCACTCACTGTAGGTCAGGTTGGATAAAAGACATAAGGTAATGCAGTGGTTCCAAACAAAACTGGAGTCTGTGCTCCTTAATAATAAGTGAAGAGAGAATACGCACCATTTTGGTGTAAAGGGATCGTATAGAGGGAGTGTTGACCAAAAGCTCGGAGACTTCTCCCTTCTTGTCTTCCAAACTGAATCTGGACAGCCAGTTGTCAAACTGCTCTGGGGGACCTGGACAAAAAGAACTTCACATTAAAATACATTCAAGAGATACTAAAGGCTAAATATTATTATCTTATCCATCTTACAGCTAGCCCACCTTGCAATCATCACATTATGAATGAAATTGTGGGTCACCACACAAATCTAGCAAACTAACGATGGTGAAAAGAAAGTGTGTACATATATGTGTCACAGCAGCAAAATCAAGTACAAAATCAGATGCATAGTACAGAGAGTAAGAACTCTAAAGAACCAGCATAGAAACACGACAAAATTAAAGAACAGCTTCCTTTAAACACAATATAACTAAACACCAGTCTGACATGCTGGTGGAGGCCTTATCTACCTCACTGTGTGCTGTCTTACCATCAGGCTCATTGCAGTATGTAGCAGGGTCAGCTTGCAAACTGTAGAGACGGGCCTGCAGGACAAACAAATGCTTAGTCGTGGTTGTTTCGTCTCAGCATGCACATCATGCGTTTTCACAGTCCTGCAGCCTCTTATGACAAAACATAAGACAACTAAATCTGTCCTGAATCAACACTTTGTTCAAGGAGATTAACCACGTTTTCCATTTGGTTATTTACAAGAGCCCCTTGCACAGAGATCTAGTTATCTCTGCTGTTTCATCATTCAGAAACTCCATGTTTGTGACACAGTGAACTTATTAACAGGTGACTCTCAAGTCTGTTTTTCAGCTAAAAAAAGGACAAGTAGACCCACCTTACAACTGTCGTAGATTTCTGTCGTTCCTGACGCCGTTGCCACCAATGTGATTACATCACAGTCGATGGTTTTATCGGGCGGTGGAGCAAGCGTGTCTGTTATCACCCCTAAGAAACTAGAGAGGCTCTTCTTCACCTTTTCTGAGGTCTCAGAGGAGCCTTCCACCTGGAAAGCAGCATAAATACGGTATTTAGCGTCGAAAAACCTCATTCACAAAGGAGACATGCATATGTCTATAACAAGGTGAAGGCTGCAACTTACCGCAAGCTTATTCCGGACAGCCGTGGCCGTAGCCACAATCGAGCAGGTTGTGTCATGTTGCACCACAGTGGAGAACTCCGTCAGGTCTCGCTTGATGAATTCTAAGGCCTCAGTCGACTGCAGAAGAGAGTAAAATTATCAACTTTATCATATCGATTAACAAATACTTATGTGTATGTACATGAAAACATAACATTCAAATGACACAAACAGTTCAACGCCGCTCACGCCAGGAATACACAGAAAACATACGACATAAATATAAAAACTTGAAGAAAAGCAGTAAACATTACTGTTTATCAAAGAGGTATGATTAACATCAGGTGTGTCAGCAGAACAACAACCTTCAGGCTCTGTGAGTGAGTCATCCCACATGTTCTAAAATGTCTTACAGGAACATCAAAGCTCAAATCTCTTAGAACAAGATATGCTCCTGAGAACAGCTGTAACTCTCTTGATTGTCTGTTTATGCTAACATATAGTTAGCTAGCACAATTTAAATATAGTATTTTAGCAACCTTAATAAAAGGGTGCAACCAGGTTTTATTTACAGTAGGTAAAGTTCAAATAAATAAAGAAATGAAGTAAACCACTGCAGTTTGACTTTGTCATTTATAATGGTGCATCGATATCTAACCTTTCATGACAACTATGTGGTTAATGTGTGTTGTTCACTAAAGACTGACTGTTGTCTTGTGAGTCTACTGAAGAAGTGGTTACTGTTGAACTATTCCTCAGAGCAACATCAGACAAATGACACAGTAACACGTACTACTTTCAATGCTGTGGATGACTGTGTTTACGTTGATTACCTTATCTTTGACGGCCTGGAAGCTCTGCTGAAGCCAGCCTCCCCACCAGCCTTCTCTGTGAACACACAGACGTTCAGTAACCAAAACAGCAGCGAAAACATTTCCATTTTAACAACCCTTCAACGGCACGACCGTTGCACATTTACCAAATGCTCAAAACGGTTCATCAATAAAGTGACTTCACAGTTATAGACAGTTGGCTGCTGCCTTTCTCTAACATTAATGTTAGCTATGTCTGGCTAACGTACACAAACATAGCCTAGCAAGCTAAACGAGTTAGCTACTGTCAGCTAGCAGCGCCGTGCAAAAAGAATGTGTCGAAGTAAGCCACGAGTGTGATTAATAAGGCTGAACATAAATGGCAGCTGTGAAAACAGATGATATATATATATATATATACAGTCCACTCTTTGCTACTGCGTAATTCCAGCTGCTCCGCACTGGCTAACAGCTAACCAGGCTATGCTAACGCTAGCCAGGCTATGTTTTGGTAAACAAATGCACTTCCTGAACCGATTCCGTGAGTTGTAAAGCACAGCATTGAAACAAACCAACGACACACACTCATATTCGATACATAACACAATAACGAACACAATGTGTACACGATGACAGTGCTCTCTGCTATATTATATTTAAAACCCTAAAGTAATTTGCGAGTTCACTCTCACCCTTCAGCCATCTTCACACGATGACATCATCAGTATTTACTGAACTCTAACCCCGGTTGCATGGCTTTGAAAAAAGGACACACGTAATACAATATGACTTCCCATCTACGATGCACAGACAATCATATTCACATATACAGAGATAAATCGAAAGAAATCGCTGTTTTAAATTGTCGTATTTTATAGTTTGTAGCCAGCAAAATGTTTTACAGTATTTGCGCTATCTATGGTGGCTGCAGAGGACCAGATTAGACGGCAACGCTAAAGACTGAGTGGCAAAGGATACTGTAGTTTGGGAAGCACTGTGTGGGCTACATGGACTTAAAATAATAAGATGACTTTCAGTTGTTCTCTATTGTTTTCATGTATTGTTCGAAACAAGAGGTAACCAACCTTTGCATGTGACTTCATACTGTTTACGTGGTCAGAAGTTTTGTACCTCTGCATAATAAACCAGAAACATATTTGCTTACAGGAACAAGATTAATCTGCACTCAGTGTAGGCACTACACTCAGAAAACTTTGCTCTTCTTGTGATAGTTGTGTGTAAAGAACTGTGTGAAAGGTCATCATAGGTTAAGTAAATGCATCTGGAACCACCATCGCCCGGTTGGCAGAAGTGCATCGGAAGAAAGAAGGACAACCAGCAGCACAATGCCTCCACGTGGAGGCTAACAATTTAAGCAAATGCAAGTTATTTTCTTTTAATCAAACCTCATTTAACCAATAAACTGCATACGAAACCAAAGAAATGAATCCAGACCAAACCTCTCCTTCTCGAGCCATTACTTTGGCAAATCAGTGTTTAGCTATTCCAACATGAATCCCCTCATCAATCTCTCTGTTCTCAGTATGTACATGTGGATGTGCATATTGCATATGCGTGGGTCGACCTCTAGCGTCTGTGCTTTCCCCTCATCAGTATTCTGGGTGAAAAGGGGGCTGTAGCTTTTCCCGAGCACAAGATGAGAAAGAACAGTCAACAAGCCCCTGGAAGTGTGTTCTCCCTTAATTGAAGTCCCCCCTCATCCAGATGCTGCACAATGTGTGCGTATGTCCCTCAATATGTCTCCCCTGTGCAGCCCCTCAATCCTCTTAATTGGGTCTTTCAGTCCTCTAATTAACTCTGTCAATGCAGGTTGTGCTGAGCCAAGTTGGGACAAGTAATCCTCTATTGATCAGTATCTGAAGCAGTTAACTTACCCAGCTGTCTACATGGCTGTGGTGTGTGTGTGTGTGTGTGTGTGTGTGTGTGTGTGTGTGTGTGTGTGTGTGTGTGGTGTTTGCATGACATTTAATGCACATAAGGGTAAATGTGTAGTATCATCCCTCGTGTTGTTAAAAACACGAGGGATGATGATAAAAACTCCATTACGATATGGAAATTCCTCTTCTTCAGCTGATCAGCAGTTATGTAGATTTAGCTTGTCATATGCCAATTCATATGAGATTTTAGATTCGTTTATATGACATGTTCGTGAAGAAAATGTACTCTTTGTACTATTTTTTAGTTGTCTTTTATTCTGTAATCTCATTGAGCTTCGGGGTCTCATTCTCAAGAGAGACCTGGTTATGGTTGGTTATGAACTGTAACTCTTCTGTCTCCTGTAAGTATTAATTTAATTCCTTCCATTTATTATGGTTAACATGGAACACTAAATGCAGAGGTGGAAAGAAAAGCATTGTTCCTAAACACAGTTTAAGACATTTGCTTCCATTTTATTCAACTTTATACTTGTACTTCATTTTATTTAAGTGGCAGAAAATATGCATTTTTCTCATAAAAAGTAAAAAAAAACCTGCCAGCATATTTTCAATGCAAATGATCTTATTTGCATTTTCTACAATCATTTCTGTTTCATAATTGTAGTGCCATAACCTGCCTTTTTCTCTCTTGTTTCAAGAAAATAAGTTAATAAGAAGCAGGTTGAAATATTGTTGCTGCACTGCAAAATAAGGTTTTAATTATCGACACAAATGCAGATGTTAAACTGGCCAACATTTAATAAAGTAGTGAAAACCTCCACTCCGCTCTACTTTTACTTAGATAACGGATGTGAATACTGCTAAAAGTACAATTGTCTGTATCGCTTCGTTTAATTCTCAGAGGTAATTGTGCACAACATTATGACTCTAACCAGAGCTGCCAATGCTGGTTAGCGTATGCTAAAGAGCACCACGATGACAGCAGTGGCCGACCATAATGGCACACAGAGGACCTGTCCATATTGTATGATTTAAGAAGCATATCCATTACACACCACACACATCACACCCACACCCACACACATGCTCCAGACCGCTGATGCCACACCGTGGGTTAACACCATCTGGTGCTGATCAGGAAACACCAGCTTTGCACAAGACAGTGTCTCTAATTATCTACCTAGAGCAAAGGGAGGCCGATCCCCACTAATCTCCACAATGTGTTCTGCTTCCCATTCCCACCTGTGCCCAAGTAAAAGAGGTGGGGGTGGGGGGGACCTTGTGGGAGGACCCGGGGTCACAGTGTCAAGGGACCGGGGACCAGGTGACGCCGCGACGCCTGGTCCCCACGACAGAAGCTCCGCCGCTTGGTTTGGCTGGCAGCTGCCTCCCCCCACTGAGACGTCCCACAGCTGACAATCCCCAAGTACTGACAGGGGCTCTTTTCAGTGTCAATAGCCTCATATATTAGAGCTAACCGCCTTTGTGGCGAGTGAGAGTGTCAGGCCTTTTGGCCCGACAGCGCTTGTTACCATGATGAAATGTAGATTGAATGGAGGGTGTCTGTGTCTCAGGCACGAGAGCTTGGACTCCCCCGGCCTTTGTGTCCCACGCATGGCCATTGTTCAAACCCATTCAGTGGCTCTCAGGGAGGAGGTGGTGGGGTGGGAGGGAGGTGGGTGAGAATGAGTTACATCTCTTCATCTCTCCCCTGATCTCCAACTCATCTGTCAGCCGTGGGAGGATAAGCATGTATTTTACACGCTTGATTTGTTGCTAAGTGAGGGCCGGCCATTGTCGGGTTGTTTGACTGAATCATGTTCATGGCAATCAGTGTGTATAATACATGTGTTTGCGGTTCAGCGGATTCATCATTGTTATGAATCAGCTACTTCATTTTTCAGACAAATGCAGCATCGTTTGATTGCACATGCGTGTTGATAGTATGTGGAAATATTTGCTACAAGTTAAAGAACAAAATCCTCTGTGCTTTTATAGAAACTTTTTTTTTTTTTTTAGACTGACCTCATTATGTCCTCAACTTTAAATTTGCCTTTTGTGTGGCCTATATCCATGTTCTTATGAGACAGAGACAAATCGCTGGCCTAGAGTAAAGGACATGGCTATGTCCCTCGCCAGCGTCAGACAAAAGTGACGCGCCTTCCTGGCGCCTGTGTCGTCCTTTCATCTCCTACTCCCTGTTGAGGTGAAGATGGATGGTCCCCTGGCTCAAGAACACCACATTCAGCCTCTGTGCTGGCACATTGTCTCGTCCTTCTGTCCCCCTTTAGCTCTTTAGAGGTTAGTCTGTCCAAAGCTGGTTAGCAACTAATGACACCCTTTCCTAAATATCCATTTTTCCACTGCCCTCCTGTCCTCTCAAGCATCAATAAAAACCCCTTCTGTTTAGTTAAAGAAGATGCGGCTGTATTGTTCTGATAAGGCTGCTTTGTTTTTGTCAGTGTGTGTCGAAAACCCTTCCAGGAAAGTATCCACCTTGTAAAAAAGAAATAGTACCTGGCAGACATTGTTTGTTTTTCACAAGTATTCAGCCAAAACTAACAACAATACAAAAACAATTGCAGTCAGGGGGAAAAAAAATTACACATTCACGAAAAGAAGAAGGCAAACAAGAGTTCTTATTATGACAACATTTTAATTTAGGAAAATAGAAATCCTGCAATACAATAGGACACACCAGTTCCATTTCTGACAATGTTTCATCACCACAGATATCAGATAAATTACAGTATTTGCTACTCTGGTAAAAATCCTGTGTGTATTTAGAATATGTCTGTATAAACAATGCGGAAAAAATAGCAGCAGTTTGCATGGCAGAAGATATATATACACAATATATACAAGCTCTGGCACCAGCCATCATTTTAGCAGTTCCTTTAAACAATCTTCTGTGAGCTGCTTGAATCATTGCGTCGATTCAAACAGCAGAGGTCCGTTTTTTAGAGAGTCCTGCTCACTTGATCATAGACAGGCTGTGTAATGTGGAGGTGGTGGTGGGCAAAGGCTGGCAGAGCGAGCAGGGACAGGGCATGCCGGGGAAGTGCCTGTAGGTGCTGGTCAGGTGGAGCGGGTCCTTCAGAAGGCCCTGGACCGACGCGTGAAACCCCAGGAAGGCGGCGGACGGAGGGGAGTGCAGGGCTTGTGCTGCGGCGGGACAAGGTGCGTGATGCTGCAGGCCTGAGGGCGTGCTGGCCACCAGCGAGTGCAGAGACTGCGCCAGGGGATGCAGAGGGAGGTGGGCGGCAGGGGCTGCAGGGGTAATAGCCGGGTGGGCAGCGGTGCGGCTCTGGATGGCTGCGCCGCCTCCGTAGATGTCCCCCACCAACTTTTTCATCTCCTCCAAGGAGCTGGACAGCATGAGGATGTAGTTGCGAGCCAACATCAGGGTGGAGATCTTGGACAGCTTGCGGACGGACGGTCCTTGAGCGTAGGGCATGACCTCTCTCAGGCTGTCCATGGCCTGGTTCAGATCATGCATCCTTTTCCTCTCCCGACTGTTGACTTTCAGCCGCAGGTCTTGTCCCTCGTTGTTGTTGACCTCTGACCTGCTCTTGGTCTTACCGCCCCCACTGCAGCGCTCCGTCCTGCCCTGGCCGGCCTCGTCGTCGTCATCTGCTCTGTTTTCTTGGCAGTACGTCTGGAACATCTTGTTGGAGAAGAAGCTCCCGGCGGAGTCGTCCACCACCAGGTCTGGGGATGAGGAGCGGCTGCAAATGGAGCCAGAGTCGGAATCCATCTCGGTTTGTGGGGGCCACAAATGGTCCAAAAATACTGCCCTGAATGCTGGGAGCTTGAGTTTAAAATTCTACAGATGCTTCCCAGTTCTTTGCTTTCCAAGCTGTTCTAGTTCCCTGTAGTGTCACCACAGTCTCATTCCTCTCAGAGTTTGTGCTGATCAGTGTGTCCACAGGAGTGAGTCCGTCTAAACTGTCACCCTCTGGGCCCACTGGGGTGTATTTATACTGCCGGCTTAAC